GCATGTCGGGAAAGTCAGGGTCCTGGGTCTCCCGGTGTGGATTTGTTTGTACTTGCTGAGAAGCCAAGGAGCTGAATTCCTCCTTTTGAGATTCAGCAAGTGGAAAGGGGCTGCTCCAGAAGCCCTGGGCAAGTCGTCCTAGCAGCACCTTTATTTTAGGTGCTGCTTTGACTTGCAAAGGACTTAACCCTGAAGTTGAGTGTTTCGCAGGTGAGAGGATTAACTGCAGGATCTGGGCCCCGTAAATAGGTTCCTGCCCCATCACACGGATGTGTCTTTGGTGGTACAGCTCAGTGAACCACCCCACCCGAGCTGCGGAGCTCTGCAGAGATTTGGCATCTGTTAGCCCGGGCTCCATGACGAGCAGCCACAGCCGTGCTGCTGGGACACCCAGAGGTGTCTGCTGCCAGCCCAAGCGGCCCAGCACCGTGCGCTGGGTGCACGGACGCAGAAGCTATGCTGAAAGCCTCCATCCTCTCCCCTGGGGATGAACCCAGGCCACGCCGTGGAAAGCAGCTCCCATCCTTGACCTCCAGGCAGATCACGCTGCCCGGGTCCAGCGCTGTGTAGCGGTCCCTCCTTGGTGTCCCCATGGCTTACTGTGTTGACCCTATGCTCCTAAAATAGTGATGTTTTGGGGAGGGGGAGGTGGTTTTTCCGGTTCAAATCATATGAATCATGCAAGGACTGTGTCACAGCCTGGCAGAATGTTTTTCTAGCAAAACCCCAAGGGCATGTGTTGTAGCTCTGTTTTAGAATGTAAAGTGTTAACATGGAGCCGAACCTGATGCAGCCTAATCCATAGGAGCTACTGGAGTGAGTCCAGCGCAGGGCTACGAGGATGGTGAGGGGACTGGAACATCTCTCCTACGAGGAGAGGCTGAGGGAGCTGGGCTTGTTCCCTGAAGAAGAGAAGGCTGTGAGGGGACCTAATAAATGCTTATAAATATCTGAAGGGTGGGTGTCAGGAGGATGGGGCCAGACTCTTTTCAGTGGTGCCCAGCGACAGGACAAGGGGCAATGGGCACAAACTGAAGCAGAGGAAGTTCCAGCTGAACATGAGGAAGAACTTTTTCCCTCTGACGGTGACGGAGCCCTGGAACAGGATGGCCAGGGAGGTTGTGGGTTCTCCTTCTCTGGAGATATTCAAGACCCGCCTGGACAAGGTCCTGTGCAGCCTGCTGTAGGCGACCCTGCTTCGGCAGGAGGGTTGGACTAGATGACCCACAGAGGTCCCTCCCAACCCCGAACATTCGTTGATGCTGTGATACTGCTTCCCCGGGAGTGGGGCCTGGCACCGCCTACCCCCAAAAGGCACTCTGAGGCTTTGCCTTGGAGAAAACCAGCTGTCTCGCTGGGAAAGCAAGGCAGGAGAGCAGGTATGGTTGTGCGGATTAGTTGGG